TAGAGAGCTCAGTTGTAGAAAGAAGTGAACTAAAGTAGAGGGAAACAATTTGCTCAAATCCAAGGCAACAAGCCAAACAGGAAAAAAGATCCGAAGTGTAGTGTTCTTTTAACCAACTACTCTAGAAAACAGTTTTAATGGGAAGAAAAAAATAATTTTACTACTGTGCTTATTGGAGAACATCCAAAAAACTCCCAAATGAGGGCAGGCAAGGATAACCAACATAAATACAACATGGGGTAAGACCTTGCAACCTAAGAAAACGTAACACTATGCTAAACTGGACTTGATAGTACGTGCATGGTAATAGACACTAGGGGGAGCTATACCTAAAGGTGGCAGTATATTTACAGGTAGAAGAATATTACAGTGCTTTGTCCTGCAATAAATGAGGGAGTAATCTTGTTTTTCTTCATTTTATGTTCACCCCTCACAATTGCTGTTAAATTGCAAATTTAGGATTAAAATCCCTGTACCCTGGCAAAAAAACATTTTGAAGGTGAAGTGTAGGAATAGATAGTGAAAAACACCAATATTCTGTCTTACCATGACAGATTAGACTTTGTAAGTTACTTTTGCCATAGAAGCTTTGTCCTGCCTGTTAGCACCATGGCTCAAAGCATGGTTCATTCCGAGATGATGCAACTCAAGCGTGCATGCGCGGGAGTTACGTCATCGTGGCCTGGCCAATTAAGTGGCCGAAGAATAAAAACCCAGAAGAAGGTGCTGGCAAGAGAGGAGAGCCCAGACATCTCAGCGCTGGAGGGCATTGCTTTGGCAGGTACGACTGCCATGATGTGCTATTATGCTATGCTTTTAGGTTTTACTTCCGATTTAGGGCCCCCTTTGGCAGTAACATGTCCAGGCTCCAGTCACCGAACCGTCTCACAATGATGCCATCTTTCCTGCTGCTTCTTCCAGATCCCATTTGGCTCCTCTTCGGCCACTGGACAGCCACTGACGATGCGCACAGGAGCTAGATTGTTCCTGACACTTGTCTCTCTTCTTGTCATGCTGAGAATGACCCCAGTGCACATAGGATAAGAAAATTTGCAAGAAGAATGGTACAACATTTTTTTAGCAAAAAAATAGATAGTCAAAGCAAAGTACAGGTTTCAGGGCAGGTTGAGTTTTAGGTTCAACACAAGCTAAAGAAAAAACATAATGCAGAAGATGATACACAGGCTGGATATATGGATATGGAAGTAAATGACCTTACAAGAACCACCAGTACCACCAGTACCCTCTTCTTGGCCATGGACACCCTGTTTTCAGCAGTCTTTTAAAGTGCCATCTGGTGCTGTCAAAGGTACATTTACAGCATTTCTTGAATAGACGGTGGTGTTCTTCCAAAGAGAACTTCAGTTTTCCATATCTATTTTCATACTTATTCTGATATCTGTTATTGTGAACAGTTACATTTTCTGTTTAGCTGTTTTATTGCAAAACTTTCAACCTTATGTCAAAAAAAAAATATTGTTCTTCAGCTTTTGGTTTCAGTCTGAGGTTATTTAACTGTAAAACTGTAACTTGATTAAAAGGAGAACAATGGGGTTAGGGCTTTTCCCCATAGTTCTCCTAAGGGTAACGGGAGGACGCAAACTAGCATCCTCCCGTCACCCAAAGCTCAGCTGTAGCTCGCGGTATACTGAGGCGCCGCAGCCGGAACGGATCCCGACAGTTATGTCTGGATCCACCCAGCTGCGTGAGTGACAGCTGACTCTGCCTATCTAGAGGCAGAACCAGCTGTACCCGCCCCATCCCCGTCCGTTCCGCAAGTCAGAGCTGGAGGATCGGACAGGGGAGGGGGGAATCCAGTCCCTCCCCTGTCACGGCTCTCTGCCGGCACAGGATCGAGAAGTGAGCGAGCGCCGGTATGTGTTAGCTCACTTTCCGATCTACTGAGCCGACCTGTGACAGTTTCATTGTCACAGGTCGGCTCAGATTATGAGGCTGAGTGAAAATCACTCACCTCATAATTCTCCTTTAAAGGCTTTAATTTTCTCATTACCTTGCGGGATGAAAATCTGAAACAGGTGTGATTTTTTAATAAAGATTGAAGTACAAAAGTGTTCAAAAATATAGAATCACCTAGAATGGTCATGCTTTTATAATCATTTGTATACAGTATTTAGCAAAGTAGCATTAAACACATTAGAAAATATAATCAGTACATTGACCACATTCTTTTTCACATCATAAAAGTATTTTATTCATCTATCTTTTCAACAATCAACCACTGACACTCTAGAATAAAATAGAGTTCTAACCTTTCTGGGTCATTAGTCCTTGTGCTCTGTGTAAATCTCTCAATTTACCAGCATCAAAGCAGTCCTATACCACTACATTTCCTTTGCCATGCTTGACAGTAAGTATTAAGCATTTTGAATCATCTGTCCATAATATTTTTTTCCAGTCATCTACTGTCTGTGTTAGTTTGACCATTATATTTTCTTCTTATTTGCCAGTTTCAAGTATGGCTTTTTCTTTGAAATTCATTAAAGTGACCCTGTTAGAAACTTAAAAAGTGCAAGTAAGAGTACAGGAAACGTCTTTTAACTATTAACTTGTTTTTCTTTTCCATATTTTTTTTTCCTCACTTGCAATGTGCCTTTGAACTTGAGCTAAAAAAGTTTGACTTCTCCAAGAAGAGTCAATTGCCTAGCACGGTCTCCACTTCTATTTACACAGCATAGCCCTCTTCTCACACCTGCTTCGGGGACTGTCTAATAACTACCTGTGTTGGTCCAGCCCCCTCCCAACAGAACCTTTTATCTTAAAGCCAAAAGGAGAAGCATAGGGGAAATATGAAAGAGTGTCACTAGATTTTCTTGTACTTATTCTCTTAGGCAATGGTGCACTTTCCACTTTTTTTTCCTATCCTGGTTAGATCCAGTTAGCCCTCTTCTCTCAAAAAGTAGTAAATGAATTTGTATCTAATCCTTACTTTCTTCGCAATCTTACGTATAGAATAACTTTCATTTTTCAAAATAACAGTTTCTCAAAAGCTGTTTCATTTTGGCAATTTTTAACTCAAATATGAACTTTTGGAATGTCAGCACCTTGAAGCTAACCTAACCCAATAACGACAATCTGTGCAATAACCACTTATCATTTAAACATTATTAATTAAAAACCTCCCCTTATAAACAAAAACAAAAATGTTTTCTTCTTATGGTAAAATCCTTTTTCTTGTATTCTTTGGAGAACACAGCTCTGCTTTAGATCATCACCTACTGTGTATTGTGCCCCCTTGCCGGACCGGGACGGTCCCTGCTGGTGGACAAAACCCCTCACACTTGTGCTTATTTATATGACACAGCAGTGCAAAAAAAAACAATTAAAGCACGAGCAGCAGCAAAGCCAGAGGGGTAAGTTCTGTGTCCTCCAATGAACGGAGCAAAAAGGATTTTATAGTGAGTACATAAAAACCTTTTCTATGTTTTGTTTATTGATGGACACAGCTCTGCTTTAGATCTTCACCTAGTGGGACACCGCTAAGCAGTTTCAGAGCAGGCTGAAGAAAACTAAAACAAAAAATCAGACTAACCATATAAAAAGAAAGCAATATATGCCAATCAGACTGCTGCCTGCTAAACTTATGCCCAAAATGCACATCAGCTAATGCTGCCACATCCAGCTTGCAAAATGTGATGAATGTGTAAACTTACAACAAAGTGGCCACCTTACAATCCTGAGAATTGATGGTGGAAAGCCCAGGTTGCACTTACCACTATTGTAAAATGCGCTGTTATCATGAACGGCGGTTCACAGTCCTTGATAGCATACGTTCAGGCAACTGTTTTCCTAATATAGTGTGTAAAGGTGATTAGGGTGTATTTGAATGTCATGTCTGCAAAACCCAAACATGACATTCAAATACACCCTAATCGCCTTGACTACATCCTAGGTCAAAGGTCAAGGCTACAAACTGCTAATGCTCCTCCCCTACTGCGAATGGCAAGAAAGGCATGAACCGCTTGTGCCCCTGGTAAATCGGTACATTAAATGAAGTATCCTTGATACCTATGGATGCCAGGTCACCCTAGCAGGGACTACTGCATGAATCAATCCAACTTGAACTTGCAGATCTTGTCAAAAATGTTCAAATCCAAAACAGGTCTTACTTGGGAATTTTTGGGAATCATAAAAGGGATTTGAGTAAAAACCTAATCTTTTCAGAGCTATGCTGGAATGGGCCAGGAGTCCCTCAACGGTCAGACATAAATCTAGTAACTGCTGAAGAGAGAGGAGCAGGTTGGAGGTAAAAAAAATCTCTACACTGGGAGTGTATAAAACTCTTTGATGCAGTCCAAGGCTGCCAATAGTTCATGAATGCTAAAAGGCATCCCCCCACCTTGAGCTGAACAGGAGAAGGGCTTCTCTGCAGGCTTGGACTACCAGGGATGTTTACTTCCTGCAGAGGGGCTTAGAGGACTTAGTCCCCTTGTCTGAATTTCCTTTTGAACAAAAGAAAAAGCTTATGGGCTGAAAAGTTAGGCTTACATTTTCCACAAGAATTCTTGGCTTTCCTGAGCTGAGGTAAGAAGGTACTCTTTCCTCCAGTGAGGTTATTGGTAATATCATTACCATAGATGACAATTAACATTTTGCTATTTTTTAAAAAATTATTTCTTTGAAGTTCAGCTTTAATTTAAGGCAGTATTGTGGCTCAAAGGTTATTCCTGCTGTGTCTTTTGAGTTGAGATCTTGAGTGCACTCTAACCTTTGTCAGTATAGAGATTGCATTTTGTTTGTGTAGTTTTCCACACGGTGGACATGTGTTCTTCAACATGTTTGAAGAGAATTTCCTTGAAGTTCAGCTTTAAGTGAAAAAGCACAAAATTGAGAGCTATGCCTTGTATGCCGATACAAGGCTGATTAAAAGGCCTCCTCTACAGCCAGCAATATCACAGTTCTAATGCCGGATAAACCACATGTTTTGGAACTCTTTGAATTTGTACTGACTGCTAACATGATTGTTTTTTCTGTCTGTTCAGTTTTCAGGACTTTATCTTCTGTCCTTTGGCACAATTCTGCTGGGACTGGTGCTGTATTTCTCCACAACAACCTACGTGGCCCAAGATCCCCGAGTGTATAAGCAATTCCGCAACCCATCAGGACCTGTTGTAGAACTGCCAGCTAGTGCACAACTGGAGCCCTCAGTAACATATACCAGCTTAAGTCAAGAAACAGAAGAAGAACCACGTGTTAGAGTTGCCTAAAGCCAAGCATTTGTCACCTGTTAAGGTTTCAGTGGCATCTGTTTGTCCATTATCTCTGTTTTGTGCATAGAGAAAAGATTTTACCAGGTACTGTCACAAGAAGGGGCTCAGAAGCAGGAGCATGAAAAAAGGTTTGACAAGGATGCAAGAAATACCAACCAACGGCAGACTCAGAAACACCTGGAGTCATTATTTTGCCAGCACTATTTATTCTTGAGTGTATAATCAGAGGGTAAGAAAACGTTGGGAAAGGTGATATTACCTCAAAGTTTACTTTTGCACATGTCTTCATGTGGTATATTGCCAAGATTTGTTTATTTTCATAAAAATCAAAAATTTCACTATGTAGTTTTCACTGAAGATTCCCCATTTTACACAATTATGTGATTGCCTAATTAAAGCTACTTGAGTCTAATTAAATAAATGACATTCCTACTGGTGCACTGCCAGCTGCCTCTGCTCTTTAGCCCAGGCACACCTGCAATCATTTAGACTGTTGGTGGCATTATAAATTCCTTGCTGAATTTTTGTAATATGTTAGGTTTTTATGACTTTTTGTATCTTCCAGTTGCCAAGTAAATTATATCTTTTTTTCCCCTCGCTTTAACTTTGGTTTAACATGATTCAAAGCAGCTAAACATGGCTTTGTCCAACACAGGGCTATTAAAAACCGATATAAAAGATAAAAGCTGTGTTGTTGCCTACAGTGCCCAGGCAGATTCCTTAATTAATTTTCCCAGGGAAGATAAACCCTGATTGGTCATTGTGGGCAACAACTTCCCTTTTGTTTTTGTTTTCTCCAGGTTTATATAAATAGTGTATGTACAGTCCTTATTTAATAAGTCAAAGTGATTTGCATAGTCCAATAAGCCATGCCAGCCAATTCAACAATCGTGTTTAAGGAAAATGATTATGAGAAAAAAATCATGGACTGTCATTGCTCACTTATGTCTGAAATGCAAGTTATTTGACTGTTGTGCTGACCCTCTGGCTCCAACACTTTTTAGGGATGATTTATAAATCATCCGCCCACAAATATGCTGGCCGAATGCCGTTCGCACAGCATTCTTGACTTTTCATTGCAGCCAAGGAGCATAGGAAATTCATAAATTATTCCCTATGATTCACTGACCCTGTAGCAGGATACACTTCAGGTGTTCTAGTTTCACTCTGATATTAGACGGTGCTTATTTGTTCCACGTCAGGACCCCAAAAGTAATAAAGCCATAGGATCAGCATGACAGCAATGCAACTTTCAGAAGGAGAGCTCAATGGCAGTCCATGTAATTCTCTTAGCATAGGTTTATTTTCTTTGTTTTGACTGCTCTCATTTGGTAACATGTAAAATCCATTTTTGGTTGCTTGAAGTTCATGCACAGCATTGCTCTGCCTTATTAAATACACCTGTATCTATTCTCAACCAACTAAAGTGACACAACCTTGGGTACACAGCAGCGGCTCAGTAATAAATGTAATGTGAGTTTTAAACTGGCTAGACGGCACATTGCAAATATTTCACAGTATTTTCCATGTCTCCTCTGTAATTCACCAAACACAACTGTTTGATCAAGCTCTAATGTAAGCATGCTTTAGTAAAATATTTCTGAAGGTAATGGGATTGTACCAACACTGCAATAAATGTTTGTCACAAATCCATTATGTGTCTGGGGCAATTTGTCAGTGAGAAGCCATTCGTTATCCTGAACCCTGATTTATATGCCCAGCTTAATCTTCTATTACCCTTCCAACCATTTTAATGGGAGGCCATAGTTCTACTTTACAATAAACATGGCAGAAACCTTGGTGATTCAAACTTATCATACGATGAAAAAGTGCAGAAACGGGTTACCAAGTGTAACATTTTCCATTCATTTCAAAACAATCCAATGATACAGAAATACTGTACATGCAGATGAAGTAATGTAATCTGTAAAAGTTTTGATTGGCTCTGTCTGTTCAAATAGTCCACCTATCACATTAACACCCAAATTAACATTTAGTTTAAATCAGCCAAATAGATTCTAGGTGCATCAAAACAACAAGTATGCAGAGTCTTAAAGTTTGTTTTCTTTGAAAGCAGGTGATAGAAAGCCTGTCTCCTTCCAGCATTCTGTATAGAAGTACTCTTGCTCTCTGTGTGGACGTAGTAGTATCTCTGCAGAAATACAATATGCCCTTTGCTAAAGCTCTACAATCAGCATAGAGCAGGGATGGCCAAACTGCGGCTCTCCAGCTGTGGTGGAACTACAAATACCATGAGGCTTTGCAAGATTCTCACAGCCACAGACATGACTCCCGGAGAGAGATGCTTCATGGGATTTGTAGTTTCACCACAGCCAGAGGGCCGGAGTTTGGCCATCCCTGGCATAGAGCATAAGCTTTGGTTTGATCCAACAGATGGCGTGTTGAACAGCGCCTGCAAAGAGACCATTGTTTCCACACAGACAGCAAGGGTCCTACTCTGCAGCATTCTGGCAGAAGACAGGCTTTTCTACCGAAGCTGTGGCAGGCTTTTCTACCGAAACTAAAGATTTCGCACACCTTTTGTTTTGATGTACCTGGAATATATTTAGTTGATTTAAACTGAAAATTGAATGGGCATAACTTGGGAGGTAGGAGGGGCATGGCCATGCTTGACTTTCGCAGGAAACATTGAGATATGCATCAGACTTCCACTGTATATAGCACTGCATTGTTTTGACATGCTGACTAAAGGTGAGCTCTGCATACAGGGCAAGCAACAAGTTCACTTAATCAGTGGCCTCAACAGCTGCTCACACCTACGTTCCTTTCACTTCCACACTGGTTCATTCAGTCACCAGAAATGGAGAGAGGGTGTCCTGTATAAGTTGTACATCATTTATCCAAGGCTGAGAACTCTCTTCCCACGTCCAAATGACAGTGTTGGGTGCTTAAGTGGCACCAGTGCTGTCACAAGGTAAGAAAGGAATAAGTCACATGTTACCCATTCCAGGGAATATGCGTAATGGAAACAGGGAATATGTGTAAAGTCAGGTATACACACTTCTATTTTCTTCGTTCCATCTGTCGACTGAACAAAGAAAATAGAACAGATTTCTCCATCAACGCTTGCGAGTGTTAATCAAGAAATCTCCCGTTGTTCCCTGTTTCTGCCGTCCACTGTCAGAATACCCCAACAGAGCTGGTAGGTCATTGGCTGCTAGCTCTGTTTGGCAAACAATTTTTCGACATGCTTCTTCGATCAGCTGATCGAGGGATGCCGGTTGGAAAGATGCTGACAGTGGCATTCCACGCATCGAATAAACCTATTGCTTTGCTCTGCATGCAAAAAGCACAGGTTTGCTTTAAGCATTTTCTCATTAGATGACCTGTGGAGCAGTTGAGCTTGCACGGGCAAAGCACAGATTTGCTTTAAGTCCTTTCCAATAAATTCTCCTGCATCTACACTAGAAAGTAGGTAGTCATTTTACATATACAAAGTCCACAATTCATTTTTGTGAAATATATAAGGCTGGCTGTGCAACACTTTCTTCAGCAATCACCATACAGCAGTATTCACAACTGGTAGAACTAGGCCTGTAAAAATTTAAAAAAAGAAAAACTCCATGTACATGGCTGATTCAGTTTGTGCTAATTTCACAAATGTACTCCTCACACCAGTTTCCTAATACATGCCCATCATGTCTCAGGACTACATTACACATCATCTCGTATATTTAGCACATACCAGTTTTTTACTTTGACTTATGTCACATTTCTTATATGTAGTAATCGCAACAAAAAAGCACAATATACCACTAGGTTAATTCATTTCTTGGTTTATCTTTGAAAAATCACCCCTCGAACACTTTGCCATGGTAAACTGACAAATTATAATAATATGCCATAGTAATTTCATAGCTGCATATTTTTCATGGCTGAGAAAGAGGGACCAACATTTTGCAGTTATAAGGAACAGTAATGATCACTTACAATACCATAGCTTAATATGCATTTTAAGTTTTGTTGGTAACTTATTACTAATTTGGGTACAAATAAAGAAAATTGTTTACCAAGAAAGTAAAAAAGTGCAATATGCTGATTACACTGTGACAGCTATACTGTATCCGTGACCCATTGGTTGCTCCACTTCCTCTGCATATTACTGGCTACAATCCATAGCTTTCATAGAACCTGACATTGTACATATATTTGTAGTGGAACTGAATGCTAATTTTGCAGTTATCTGAGTAAATGACCAATAATACAATTTAATATCAGAAAGTAGGGATGTTCAGATATCAGTGCCGATACTTGATTTTCACGAGAACTACCAGGGTTGCATCATTAGTCTGTATTGTTTTACAAAAACTGTCACATGACAAACAAAAATGTATCAGTACTTGTATCTGTGAGGACTAGGACAAGTATCAGTACTTGAAAAAATGGTATCGGTGCATCTCTAATATATATATATATTTTTTTTAAATCATACATTTCTCTAGTCTAGTCTTGGAGCTGGAAAAGTATCTGTGCATGTACATGTATGCATCTGTACGGTACTTGGTATCTGAACATCCCTATCAGAAAGCGTTAAAATGTTTTTGCTATAAATGGTGCCAGTTTTTATTGTCTGGTCTTAACATACCTGTGCTGCATTAACATAGCCTGTCTCTACATAAAAAGTTAATTCTTCATACCACCATATTATAAAACTCAAATGAATCCATTTACATGCTAATTGTGATAGCAGCATATGTTTAACCTTGTGAACATTACAGAATGTTTATTGTACGGTACAAGCATATTTTGGGTGAACTATTGGCATATGCAAAGTAAATCCTAATAAACAAAACAGGATTTAGAAGATTCCGATTTAGCATGCAGCCCGACTGTCCTTGAAAATGGTGACTTATTAAAACATAATGAATTAATGCACATTCCTTTCTAGAAATATGTTCCAGACAATCTTTGGCTAACAAGTATATAAAAGTTCATTTAATTGAATGTATTATTATTGTATTATATTTTTTCCTATACTTTCATATTCTCTCTCCTATTTGCATACACGGTCTGCTTTTTAGACTTTATACAATATTAATTTTTACATGGTACCAATTGTTAAATGAATTTATAGAATAACTGATTTGTGTATTTTATGACTTTTTAGTGTGTAAATAAGTGTGGTTCAAATTAATTTGTTAACAAGATATAGTAATCTACCTACATTTCTATTAGGGTTAAAGTGAAGTTTATTGTATTCCATATGGATTTAACAGTAAAAACACAATGGATAATGCTTGTTCTTCACAGTTCCTGCATTTCCGGACCATTTAGACACCTTTTAAAGAGCAATGTGCAAAATTTATGATACCCTATGCACTTTTAAGGACTCTTTGAAGAAAACCCTTTGATCAAAACGGATATAGCGGGAGTATTGTAAACAACAAACAACATGATTGAGTTCTCCTGCTTGCACAATTTATGAGGAGTCCCCTTACAACAATTGTGCTAATGCATTTAAGTGTTGACCAGTATTAAGACCAGGTACAAAAATGTAAGGCTTTTGACACAAGAATGCCACATACAGTCGCGTGAAAAAGAAAGTGCACCCTCTTTGAATCCTGGGGTTTTAAGTATCAGGACATAATAAAAATTATCTGGTCCTTAGCAGGTCATAAATTAGGTAAATACAACCTCAGATGAATAACAACAC